GATATCTCCTGATATGGCAACTGACTTCTGGTGAAATCGCAGGAGGACTCCTAGCAACGGAGAACAGAGGTTTCGTCCAGGAAGCAGGTGATTGTTCAGGGCCTGTCCAGAATACCCATATGAGCAGTTAAAGAGCAGGCGGTACGTTTCATGCTGTCGGAGAAATGAACCATGATTCAGTGGTTGAAGTAGCTTCACTTTCACTGATGATCTGCACATAATCTTTGTCTACAAGTTCTTGGATCTTCCGGTTGTGGGTATCAGTCAGATCTGGATCACGGCAGAGACGTTTCTCCACAGAGCGAAAATTCTTTTCCAGCATAAAGAGGAGAGCAATCTGACATCCTCAGGAGCGGAGTGACATAATGGTTGGTTTCTCCATCACTGACCTTCACAGTCTTTGATTCCAAGATCTTCACTGCTAAACTGTCTAGCTTGGAGCGGGTCACAGATTTGGATATGAAGGAAATCACCTCAGCCTTCCACAGTTTCACAACATTATTCATAAGTTGAATGGAGGGGTTCGGAACCGAAGTCAGGAGACAGCAGTCACGGTTTGCTGAGGTAATGTTTTTGTGCTAGCCTTGGAGGGTCCATCCAAACTTAGTACAGACAGCCACTGGTGCATTTGATGGTCGAAAACAGATAGGTGTTCGTGGTAATATCAGATCTGCATGGTCAGAACCGATCAGGATCAAGGGCTTTGCAGAACAGCATCTTGCAGATGAGCATATTCCCTCTGGAGGGATTTGACTGGGTAGGAATACTCTGACAGTGCCAGCTGATCAGAGCGAAGGTTTTGCTAATTGAGTACTTGCGGTGAGGATCATCTAGAGGTGAGATAGTAAGGTTTACAGAATGTCCAACACAGTTGAATGGCTCACTTCGGATCGTAGTCAGTAGAATGTCATCTGGTTCAGTGTTAAGATCAAGCTGTCTGACAGCGGGCATCATGATCATTGTCCTCATTGATCCATCATCCAATACTGCATAGGTTTCAAGAGTCTTTCCACTAGGTTCACTCAAGATGACTGGCACAACTTCCAGGACCACTCTGTAGGATTGAGAGTGCTGGTCGAGGTAGAGAGGTGACTGGTTCATAAAATATGACAGAGTTGAACTTTGTTAGACGGTGTCATGTAAGATCGTTAGATGCATCTTTTGGCAAATGATGCAGGGCTTATTGAGATTATAGTCATTAGGTGAATGAGATCTCACACACTTCCAACACCTTTTCTTGTCCCTTATCCATGGGATAACTTCACCAACCTTCAATCTCTTGAAACTGTTACAGAAACTGATGTGATGATGGTCGCTGTTACAGAAGGCACACTAGGACTTGTAGGTTGCTTTCCCACCTGTAGGAACAGCAGGTTCAGATCTTGCATGACTGGACATGGTTACAGTGTTGAGAGAGATAGGATGGTTTGGTTGTTGGGTAGGTCTTGATCCGCAGTCAAGGTTCATCTGGGATCGAGTATCAGACCCAAATCTCAACTCCACACTTGATTCACCTTCAATAGATGTTAACATGCCCACAATAGATTGCACGGAGAGGGCGAAGTTGTCTAGAGTAACATGGTCGCCTGATTCCACAAAGGGCAAGAACAAGATTGAGTTGAATTCTCCCCAAACCAGCTGGAAAGGTAGACCATATTTCTCATTTAGGGCCATGGTATATGGCGTGGCGTGACTCAGACAGGCACAGGCTAGTTTCTTGGCATTACCACCAAGGTGGTCCATCAATATTTGATACCTGTACTTCTCACTCAATTGAAGGTGACAGTCAATGGGGTTTTCAAATGACATCTTCAATAGTCTGAAATCCGTCTCATTATGAGTATCAAATGGTGGTAAACCTGGTCTTGGTAGACCAAATGAGGAAGAAATGAGAAACCGGGAGGTGTCGTTGGTGTCGGTGCAGTCAGTAGGTTGGTCATCACAGGTTGAGTGGTATGATGGGCAGTAGGTAGCCGGGTGAAACCACTCTGGAAAGAAAGCCCTTGTGTGGATTGGACATGTCCTCTGGGTGGTAGGGGGTAATTGGGGCGGCGCAGAGGAAGGCAAGCTTACTTGAACTGTAGGTCGGGTATGTGTGCTGGACGTAGTGAGGATATTACTCATCATCTGTGTCGTAGCACTTGCAGGTATGGCACTGGAGGTTTGGGAAGTAGAGGTAGAAGGGAATGATGTGATCAGAGCCGATGAAGTGGTGTGGACGTAGTTGATATCAACATTGCTTCTATCATACTAGCCTCGTTTAATTCATCTTGGGCTAGTCTAAATTTAAAGGCTTCATCATCAAGCTGATTTATCTTTTCATCAGCCAGTTCGTCCACCTTTTGCCTAATCATGAGTTCTTGCAATTTCCTTTCACTTTGAATTCGCTTATTGAGAGATAATTGCTCATCTGATAATCCTGAACATGCCGAAAGACGACTGAAAATAGAAATTTTGCTTTGCCGACTTCGTACACTTCCACAACGAGACCCCTGAATTGATTTAATGGGCACTTCATTTTTTTGCTACAGTACGGTCGTACGGTTCTGAAAGCACATTTGATACGTTCAGTTCATAATCTGAGAGATAATCAGGCGGTCGCCTCTCTCTAGAAGACCTCTCATTAATCTAGGTTCACGATAGTTTATATTTCAACAGTTCAAAAGTTCATACTGTTCAACATGCGTGTGTGAGGTACTGTAAGCTCGTTATACTCACGACACGATGCTGAAATTTGGCTCAGAAAGCTGTCAAATTCCGCCTCGCGGGACCGTGATTTGATTCACTTTGACAGCGGTTTAATTACATCACTTTTACGCACAGTACATCGAACAAGGTTCATCGCGGACCAGAGTGACTGACTAACTGACTGACTGACTGGTTTGGTTTTACGCCGCTTTTAGCAATATTCCAGCAACATCACGTCGGGGGACACCAGAAATGGGCTTCACACATTGTACCCATGTGGAGATTCGAACCCGGGTAATCGGCGTGACGAGCCAACGCTTTAACCACTAGGCTACCCCACCGCCCCTCGTATTTTCCTGTAATTCGAAAAATACATATGATCATTAATAAGGCACCACCTGAATCTAAACAGGCCATCATATCTTAGCATTATGAAACGCACGTGCTAAATATGTGTTTCAAACAACGTCTCAAAAGCTATGGGTCGCCTGTTCACGTACTGCGAAGGCGCCAAGCCAAGGGTATAACTTTCATAACTGCGGTATGTGCACTACAGTTTTCTGAACTTATTTATAAGTCAACAGTACTAAAATGAACGTAGTCTTTCACAGAAAACATGACAGTAAGTTCTTAGCATGCATGACGCAGAGATATCCTGTTGCAACATCAGTGTTAATTTGAACATTAACCACATGGGTATTAGTCGACTTGTGAGCAAGCACCCAGCCAATACGGGCGAAGGCCGAGAATGACCAATGACCGTGATGTGATGACAAAATCCTAGTTCGTCTGACAAGATGCTATCCCATGCCCCATGCCAAAGACATACGCCGGCAATGGAGAGTCCAAACCTCTACTGTACAATTAAAAGGAAGCTGAGGGCTGCTGGACTGAGGGATCAGACGTCTCTTCCTCACAGACAGCCCAGGCAGAAATGTCTGGCGTGGTGCAGGTGCAACTTTAGGACATGCTGTGGGGATAATTTGTCTGATGAATGTCGCTAGCTTCTACACTTTACCGGCCGTCGATGTGGCGTATGGAGACGAGGTAACGAGGCATATGACCATCGTTACCATCATATGGACCAAATGATCCATGCAACTGTCTCAACAGGAAGAACTGGATACTGCCATCATGTCACATAATAGCCATCTCTTGCCAGTCGTCCGATATTCATATTCATGGAAGACACGGTGTCTGATTGTGTTAGTTGTCTGTTGGACAACTCTTGAGGAAATCTGTTTCACTCTCGTAGCATGCAAGCATAATTGTGTGTTGCTGTCTTGCAACTTACACTCTCGCTCTTAGGCGAGCTCAGTTTGCGCCATGTCCGGTGACAGGGCACCACAGGTAGGTTATTCACGCAGATTACCTCATGGAGACCTATGAAGAGACGGAGGTCGGACAACTGGTAGTCTTGATCACGGACTTTGCGTAGATTGGAACGGCTTCCACGGCCGAAAGATATGAATTTACAGAGAGGTACACAAAGTCGGTGATCTAGACAATTAGTTGTTCGACTAGCCGCTTTGTCTGAGTGGATTAGATGGCTGACTTTGTGTGCAGGCGATTAGGTGCCTGACTCTGATAGTGTATGCTCGAATCCCGGGTGGGACTCAACCCAACAAAAGTACTAAATCTGTACTTTCCTGAGAAAGTATTTTGTACATTCCATGCAAAAATACCCCACTTGATTTGCGTTTCCTTTGAGGCTACTTTCTCTTGATTTCGGAGCAAAGGTCGAAATAAGATGATATCTCAAAATGAACTGATTTTACATACATCTTGTGATTGTGTTTGCCACGTGCTATGAGAAGTTCAAATGACAATGTCCAGAGACCGAGCACTCTCGTCAGAGTCATTGTAGTTGTAGTTACTCAAAACGTATTATTGCATTTATCCTACTTTCTCTGAGGCATGGTTACGTTACTTAGTAAATATTTGTACAGGCATGGTTAGGATACTCATGCACAGGCTGTTTCTACTCTCTCACTGGTATTCTTATCTGGTGAATTTAAATGAAGTTCATTTCGTTGGCAATTCACTCGTACTATTTATGAAAACTTTGTTCCTTTCTGCCAGCATATAGAACCATATGAGAATACTGCATCTCTATTTTAATAGGGTAAATTGTTAAGCATTTATGTGCCAAATTGGTATGAACTCATCATATTCATGCTCAATGTCATAGACAGGTGATTAATGATCAGCTGCAAAAGGGGGAAGCATAACAGAATTATTTTCATGTTTTTGCACACTCACACACTGCCTATTGTTAAAAACACATTTTGAGTCGTAATGAGAACAATTTGTAGAAAGGTCAAATGATATACAGAAGAACGTGCGATAGTGTGAGTGTTTTCACCATGAATTTAAGATTGTACATGTCTTTACTCTGTTGTTTAGATGATCTTCCGAGGATCTCGGATAACCCAAGGTGGACTGCAGGTACTAGTAACAAATACCCATTGTTGACAGTTAACACTTACATTCGGAGAAGAAATATGTTCACCACAATTTATTCACAATAAGTCGGTGTGAAACCACCTTAAATATACTTCGTTTAAAGGTCCAATTTGCATGGAAATACTAGAAATACTTCAAATTGTGTGGAATTTACATACCCTCTTATGGGGACAAGTATTTAATATCACTTCAACCCCTCTCAAAGGGATAGCCACTTTAAGATTGTACATGTATTTAATGTGTTGTTTAGATTCGGACCAGCTGGCACTTGACTTGCGGACCTCACCATGTCCGACTGAAGGTACTATTAACAAATAAACATTGTTGACAGTTAACACTTACATTCGGAGAAGAAATATGTTCACCACAATGTATTCACAATAAGTCCGTGTGAAACCACCTTAAATATACTTCGTTTAAAGGTCCAGTTTGCCTGGAAATACTAGAAATACTTCAAATTGTGAGGAATTTACATACACTCTTATGGGGACAAGTACTTAATATCACTTCAACCCCTCTCAAAGGGATAACCACTAACGATCTTATTTATTAACACTAGATCTATTAATTTATAAAATATTACAATATACATGAAAACGTATGAATCAATGCAATTGTTTAAAAATAGAACATACAGGAATTAATTGAGGGCTGATAATGTTAAAGTGTTCATTGTTGAAACCTCGAAATATTGATCCCTTGTGCTGGGAAATGAACACAAATCAGCAGGACATGTTTGTATGTAGTTCTCTCATCACAAAGGAAACAAAATGGATGCCAAACAGGCAATTTTGACACGAATGTTTTAATGCCCAAGACAACATGTCTGAAAATATAATGCATTCCCCATGTTTGGAATGTTTATGTAAAATACTATAGGTCTTATAATAGTCTTTGATTCAGATGTAAAATTGAAGAGTTACTAGGTTACTTATCCAGTTGATCCACTGACGGTAGTGCTGGCAGTACAACTGACTGGTGTCAGATTTTCTTAATGTAGATAAGGTAAGATCCACATGTGGCCTTACCTATTGCCAAGAAGGAGAAGAAAGCAAGCGTAAAGGGGATATATTATGGAGTAGAAATGAAAGGTTTAATTTATATTCCTAGGATCCATGAACATCCGGGTTAGAATTGGTAGCCCATGCTTGCCGTGAAAGGTGACTAAGGCGATTTGGTGGTCAGACTCGCTGACTTGCGTAGATCGACGTTCATGTTGTTGATCACTGGATTGTCTGGTCCAGACTCGATTATTTACAGACCGCCGCCATTTAGCTGGAATATTGCTGAGTACCATAAACAGCTACCCAACCAACCAACCAACCAAATCTTATTCCCAAAGAGGATTTAACACACCGCCACACATAGGGTTCGACTCGTTCGAGAATATGTACAGCAGAGTGATGTACTGCAAAGATAATTGTACACGGAAGAAATAGCTCATCAGTATCAACAGAAAACTTTCAATGGGAAAAGGTTGAGAAAGACAGAGTGGACAGAATCTGAACGTTTCAGGCTGCTTTTGCAGAATCCATTATATATAATGGAGCCATACTTTACTTTTGAACGGATTAGTTATCAGTATGAGTGAAGTAGGGTTGACTGTTTTCCTCCACATTTGGAACAAAAACAATTTTCAACAGATCCAGTGCCCTTAAACACTCTGCTTTAATATGGTGGTAAAAGTAAGAAGATGATCTAAAATATCATCTTCCATATATGATCTAAAAATATCATCTTTCCTATATTGACTGATTGCTCAAAGGCAATATGTTTATCTGTGTCGGCAATCAAATAGACCGATCCAGTCTGTCGGTTAAAACTATAGCTGTCGTCAATGTCAACCGATCAGAGGTGATAGCAGTTTTAACTGCAGTGCTGCTTGGAACCAAGCACACAATAACGAAAAACAAACAAGCTGTTGATCTGCCAAAAAATTGGAAATTCATCTTTCCTCTTTAATCGCCTGCAAGTAGGACAAACTGAGAACTATTGATACAGTGTATCGCTAACAAAGCAGCCTTTGCATCAGAGTATACCAGTGAGTCTAAGCTGGAGAGGAAATGAGAAGGGTAGTTAGCACGCATTTGAATAGACTCTTGTTGATTGCAACGGAGTTATTTCCTGCGTTTGAATTTTAGCAATAGGAGTAAGATCCATATCGTATATGTCAGAGCAGTGTGAAGTGTCTCCTAACTATAACCAATTCGATGGAGGCTGGTATAATTTAACCATGCGGTACAATTGGATATACTGGGATGGAAAGATGCTGACTCCTGCATTAATTAGATTCAATTGATTTGAGTTCCTATATAGGCATTTCTTATATCTATACATCTGTTTGTTTTGTTTTTAACAGAAACCGTTCTCGATTGATAAGACTACACAACGTACTGAAGCTGAACTGTCAATCCACAAGCTGCTTTACACCAGTAATTTACTCTCAGCAAACTATTCTCAGCTCAAGTTGTCTTGCCTGATCGACTATTCGTCTGTCTGCTGTCGGTATGAAGGAGTCTTCTCTGAGCCCAATGATAGTAATTGGCATTCCCAAAGTAGGGATAGTTACTGGGAAGACTTGGCTGAGTCAACCAAAGTCAGTTGAGACGACCTCACAAATTCCTATCTCAGTGGATTTGTGGAATATATATTTTACAGGTATGCAGATAATTTCAGGATATGACATTACATAATTTGCAAGAAACTATGTAATTGGATTAAAATCAGAAACGACAGAATCAGCCATAGGTTACATTACAACTTCAGCAGATACCAATAATGATTGGCCAAACAATTGAACATATAGATTCGTATAAAATTTAGTATCTGAGCGCATTTGTACATATGAACTATATCATAGGTAAAATATCCATCACAAAATGCTTTTAAAAAGTGGCTTTTTAACAATGATTACATAGGATTATTTATGGACTATGAAACAACTTGGAATATGAACCAACAGACAGTTCTAAAGAGTGGTCAAATTCGATAAGAAGGAGTTAGATGGGCACAATCGAGAATCCTATCCCCTCAGGTTCAACTATAGTGATTCATTGAACTGTTGTTTAACTGCAATGCTGTCTACCAAATGTGCGCTCCCAACTTCAATTGTGATTAAATATGGCTCAGTGTTTCAGCTCATCTCACTTTTTTGTCCTAAACAAATATGGTTATTCACAAACACATGGTTCTTCCCGTAACGAAAATATTGTATTCAATAACGTGGTTTGACGGTGCATATTTTTGTATTCAGATATGTTATTTGTGCTATTTCAACCATATCGTTTTATTGCAATGTCTTTTATGCTTTCAAATAATGCTTTCCATGTGATTTTGTGCTTTTTAATTAGTCGACTTATGTGCGATTCAAGATCGAAATAAATAAGAATGATCTTCACTGCTGGGTCAAGCAAAGGTACTTAAATACTTAAATCAAATACTTATCCTTATGATCATCTTTAAGATTATCAAAGAAATTTCTTGTGGAATTTTCAGCTTTGTACACCACAACTTAAGGGGAAACCTTATTCGTTGTTTTGTTGTCTCTAGAACTGATGACCAGAGTTACAAATCCATGTTCAGATGTAGGAGAACTTGGTTTGTGAAATTCTGTGTAGGGAAGCAGCATTTCAGAGACATGGGTTTATGATATGGATGAAAGCATACGAATGTTCTCATGATTACTGAAATGATTTTATCGATAACAACCTCTTGTTTATTGCGCGACGCCTCGATGTAGATTATTACTACGTTTTTAAGCTAAACGTTGAAATAAACAAAAATTGTGCCTTATGCTTTTTAAAACAGTTGTATTTCAAGTTATAGCATGTGTATTACCTTTGAACATTAATACGTTTCATTTGTTGCTTTGCTACTTTAGTTATGATTTTTATAGATTAAAAAATAGTTTGATTTATATGGTTGTATTGCTTTTCACAAGGAATCAGGACTTCACGAAAAACATTTTGAATCCATCGAAATTCGCCGTCACAACCTGTGAACAAAAGATACTAAGGGTACTACATACCACCAGCCTACGAAGAATAAGACTATAGACTCATAGCACCCTATCAGCTTGTATTCACAACGTAATCCCACCTGTTTATTGGCTTCATCACCCGTGGTATTTGTCGTTCTTGGTCCCCACCTGGCCTCATCTAATTATGTGCCACTTCTATCATCTACACGCTCCATCGTATCTCCTGGTGTCAATCACTGGACTGTCTGGTTCAGTTCGATTGTTTACAGACTGCATCGTACAGCTGTACAGCTCATGTGGAGCGCTATAGAGCAGTGGTAAGGCGTCTGCCTATCACGCTGAAGGCCCGGGTTTGATCCCTGGTGGATGCACCCGTGGAGGTTCGGGTCCCGAGGTGGGCACATTTGCGTAGTATCCTTGGACAATATACTGAAAACTACATTGTCGCAGTTCACCCGGCTGTAAAATGGGTATCCGTGAGGATGTGCTGGAAATATGATTGTTAAGTTCATTACACCTTACAGGCAACATGGATGTATACTCCCCAGGGAGCTGAAAAAAAATATCGGAAAGTATGATAGTGTCCTATGACCGGGGATAGTAATGTACGTAGCGCCGTGAGCAGGCAATTACTATTACTAATACAGCTGAATGCGGCGTCAAACACATACTCACGATGTAGTCAGAATTGTAGCAGAGACCTCTTAAGGATATTGTCGTTTCTACTTAGACAGACACGGGTGTGTCCATCATAGGGAAAGATACATGCGAATATTCCACTACAAATAGAAGCGACAAAACCTTTTCCATATTCATAAGAAATCTCTGCCAAAAAACAGAGTCGATTGTACAATTGAGACTATATCATGATATTTGTTTCAGCAGTATTACAGCTTTATGATGTTGTTTGCAAATAAATCGGGTCTGAACCAGACAATCCAGTGATTGTCACCATGCGATACTATGACTGTTTATGAATCACAATGAAATAGTGATGATACCAGGTGTTCGCGAAGAGGTGAGCGTATCCTGCCCCACCGGTGGCACCCGTCATAAACATATGTTAAGTCTAGTCATGTGTTCACCTGAAGTAAGTCAGGAACGTATGGTATAAGTCAACATATGGAATTGCATCGGACATAATTTTTTGTCACTAATGCATCGAATTTGGACATTTCCTCCACCTGACTACCATTTTGAACTACTTAAAGGAAATTAGTCTGTATCATAAACTGTAGCTATGTACCGTGAATGACAGATTGCTTGTTTTAGAATTTTATGCTATGACATATTCTGTTTGTAAATAGTAATTAATGAATTAGAAGATAAATAGTTTGGTTTGTTCAATGGTTTTAAACGCTAAAATTTGCACAGAAATTTAACAAACCAAACTATTTATCGATATTGTAAAACAATTTGTAGTGAGAAACCTATTTCCAAGGAGCTCTTTGAATGTAGCGAGATCGTGTGTCGCAATGCGGTTAGCCTCTCGTAGTCAAGTTCGCTGTCGCCCCAGATACGAGAAACGACAAAAGAAGGGTTACGCTATTATCTAATGGGGGAGATATGTTACGTCATGTTCGAAATGAATAACAGTCAGTATAATACACAAAACAAAATGTATTCAGTCATTTTTAAAATTAAACTTGATGAGTAACATTACACTGGAACCGCAATGACAATGAAAGAATTCCATTTTATGCTCCCTTCTCCACCTAATGTAATCTTACGTATACTGATCCAATCAAGGATGACCATAAGGATTTGATCGTGTAAAGTTAGGCCTACTGTCGATTAACGAAGCTGACATTTATGGTAGAATTGTGTATGCCCTGAAACATTCCCATCGCGGTTACAATTGAAGAACTTTGCAAGTGTGAAAGAGCCAAGATGATGAAACAGTGGCAACGGCCCGAGAATCGACGCGTTGGCGATCAGACCCCTGCAAAATGGCCGAGTACGACCTCTTCTGTACACTGTTGGATTCGGTGCAGTATGATTTTAAACTTTGTGGGCGTCTCGGGGGTTAAATAATAAATTAATATAATAGTTCCATAGTGGGTGGAGTAGGTTAGGTAGTTGGGTGGGCTGCTGACGTAGTACCTACCTTTAGTATTTCTATATGTAGAAGCTTAGGCCCATGCGGACCTCGTGGCTGGGGAGACAGGACGATGTCACGCTTCTTGCATGCTCCACCATCTTGAGGGGCAGAGATGCAAGGAGCGTGCGCATTGGCCGAATTCTGAATTTCCCCAGTCATGGTCCGATGTCGGCTATATAAGCCTACCTCCCTAGGTAGGGTATCGTCAGTCGTCCGATACCCGAATCGGGTAAATTCTCTGCGACCGCGAGTCTTGTATCAAGACCAGATTAAAGTTCCCACTTATTTGTTTATTGTTTTAGGTAATGTCGTGTTGATTTAGTGATAGCTTGGGAAGGGAGAAATAGCATATAAGAATAAGTAGGTTTTATCTTGTTATTTTCGGGAGTAGGTATAAAGGGGTTGACATAATCATAAGTTTATTATATGTTGAGTAGGATTTAGGTAGGTTTGGAGGGGATTAGGATGAAACCGGACACAAAGGGTAAGATTCTCAACATTTTTAATTGTTTTGATATGCTTGGAAGCTTGTGTCAGTGGGATTTCCTAGACTGCATTAGTACCTTTTCATAATTACCAGTCAGTATTCATTTTTGATATTTTAGGTATATCATGATATTATCATTCAGTGTTAGATCAGATGTAAATCTTGTTGAAAGCTGTTTTGAGAAATAATAACTATATTTGCTTTTATGCCTTTGGTAATTCTGTTTAGAAGCCGGGTGACAGTCTAGCGAAAGGGAGGTAACTAACATGTAACTTCCTTTTGGTTTATATTTACAAAATGTTAAACTTTGCACACCTCTGAAGCAAATTGTATTTCTCTCAGTTGCTTTCGATAGTGACCCATCAATTATTTCCCTCAGGCCATTCTCATCAACCTTAGCAAAGCGGGACTGTGGAGGGACGTTCGGTGTACAAGATGGAGCCGGGTCAGCGCTGGAATTTCGAAGTGGAAACGTCCGGAGTGCTGGGATTGGTGTATTTTGGAAGATCAATATCTAGAAACAAGTATCATTAAGCTATTCTTTGGCTGAATAACAATCTTTAAACTTGGAATATTGTACCAAATTAAATACACAGAATGCTTGAAATTTGCGGAGCAGTTCATTTCAATGAATAAACATCATTGAAGGATATTATTTTATGGCTCTTCAATCCTTAACTATTATCTGATCACATATGTGCCATGTGATTGTATACACCCTTATCTTTGAATAATTCTTCCAAGAATTTGTTGTCTTCAAAGATTGTATCAAAATCAGAGAGAGAATTTGCGGTGGTAATGTTTCTCAATTATGCAAATTCATGCAGCGAAAAGTGTACGGTATTAGTGCCAACGTATTAATGTGCAGTTATTAGGCCATCATTTTCAGGTATGTCGAACAATATTCGATAAGGGTAATTAACCAATCAGATTGCGGAAAGCGCTCACTATTGGTTTACAATATATTATAATGATTGTATATTTTTCAAGAAACTCATTTTGTACCTTGTACTTAAAATGTGTATGAATGCAGACTTGGTCTCGTCTCTATATTGTTGAAATCATGCCCATGTGACGTAAAACCCAACTCATTTATTGAGGCCTTGAATGTTGTAACCTTGATGAAACAACTTCTAAGCAAGAGTGGCATGACGCTCTTCGAAATCCTGAGAAAAAGGGCATCCTCAATTGTACGTCAAAAGTTGTGAAATGTAAACACCAAAGGCTGGAGCTGTTGGTCAACATGAAAGGGAAGCTGACTATTGGAAAGTTGAAATCATCCCTTTTGTCATACAGACTTGAGGAGAGTGTTTTTTGTCACTCTAAATCTTAAGCAT